TCTCTCTATCTCAAGGAGTTCCTATTCTTCTTTTAACAACAAATCCATGCTATTGTACCTAAAAAGGAATTAAACAAGAAGGATCAATTTCTTAAATTAGATAGCAAAATAATCACATTCCCCGGCAACGGCGCCAATTCCTAATGAGATATGGATTCTAAATACAAGTATTAAACAATTCATAGACTAATTTGACATCGCTTTAATTTGCTCCTTAATTTATAATTATAGATGTCTTTGCACCTTTCTAAACAAAGCCTCATAGATATGTAATCTCGAAGGCGATAAAATGTAATCACAAAGGTGAAAAATGTAAGCAGTTCTCAAGATCGACAAATTAAATATGCAAGACAAATATTTCCAACTTGCAACCGAAACTTAATTCCACTTATCTATAAGATGTGTCTTCTAAATTTGTATCCCTGCATAAATAAACAACAAAACTAATACAATTAGGAAGGAAGACCGGCTGTGATTACCATATTTAAAATATGGTTCTAACAAGATTTGAACCTACAATTTTAACTTTAAACTTTAAGGTACTAACCACTAAGCTATTACCATATTACATACCATTCTATAAAAATTAAATATTATTAATAAAGATTTTTATCATGGAAATAATGCAGTAACACGGCGCATTGATAGCCTGAGCCTAAAAACTAGTTATTGATAAAACACTTGAAATAATGATAGATCGATGTAGCAAGAAAAGTTAAAAATTAATCACTCTTATTGATTTAATTATACAATATAATCTTCGTAAATAAAATTTTGCACATACATGATTATTCGAGTATTATATATATGATACATCAACTCTTTGTTTAAATGAGGCCGAGAAGTGCATGTTACTAGATCGTTGAAGAAAATGAACTAATAACATATTGAAGGCCTTGCAAATCCGACAAAGATACCAACTAGAACAAATTAAATATTTAACAATTGATGGAATGTGAATATTGATGAAGTAGTCTTTCCAATTGATGCACAACGGATCGAAGTTAAACACATCTTCATCCAAGCCATTTTCACGGGCAGTTTTGATCAAATTTTCGGTATTTGTATCGAAGAATCTATAAAGAGAAAACCATTCATTAGCAAGGATACAATTACTCTTACTACGCATAAGAATTGAATAGCTAGAGAGTTAAAGATAGAAGTTATGTTATTATGAAGCTCAAAAGTTGAACTTACATGCCCTTAAAGAACAAGTAGGGTTTGTACAAGTCGACCAATTTCATAGCTTTTTTCAGCTTTTTGTCGAAATTAAACAAGGTACATTGCAAGTCACTACGACCCATTCTAGTAGCAAATAATAGAATCTGAAAACAAATTGAGTAATTAGATAAAATTGGAATAATAATTAATTTTAAAGGATAAGAAACAACATTGTTGTTGAATTGTATGACAACATTAAACTTATGATTTGAACAAAAAATTGCCATACGAAGAGAATGATTTTGAATATCTTTATGTTGCTCAACACAAGACCTTTCCCAACTATGACAGAGTTACCTTCACGATTGCTCTATGGATTTTTAGTGAAGTAACGGTAGTGAATGTCATGCAACTCTTTAAAAGTTACAGGATTTCTGTATGAGCTTCCGACTTGATATATTGTCGAACAAGGTTTACAGACATGGGCTTTCATTGCCACAATTATCGAATTCACAAACATATCCGTAGGTATCTACATAGTTATTAATTGGTTAGCATCATCAAACTTATTGCCAAAATTCGCATAAATAATCATATAAATTAAATTATCGATTTCATATACCTGATAAGGTTATATAGTCAGAATTTGAAAAGTCAAATGGAGAAAGTAATTTGAGACGGTTACTTATAATAAATAAAAAGGGTAAGGGAGGACTGACCAAGTCTAAGACGGTGTTCCTATCCACAGGGAAGATACTTAGGATACCTTTTCCATAGGTCACGGCCACACTATCAATAGTCATGCACTCAAGTAAGTAGAAATGGAAAATTTAATACTTCGTACTACTCTGTAGTCTGTACCGATAAGGTCAATAGTACGTAATAGAGCTATTGTATTAGAGAGACTTAGTTTTAAAATCCAACAACATAGGTAGGGTGAAGAAAACCAATATGCGCTAGTATTCTAGTATTTGTATCTGCTTATGTACAGCTCCCTGTATTCTCTGTTTTTTGTACAGCTAGCTGTTTTCTTTTGTTCTTTTGTGCAGCCTAGGTGTAACTTTGTTAGTGGCTTGTTTTTTGTATATATTTTACAATACTAGGTTTGCTGATCCCTAAGAGGATTGAGCGCCGTTTTACCCTCAATACAGAGAAAAACATTCTCCCAATTATTGATTGTGAGAAAGGCATATTCAACCTAAAACTCGAAACTTTAAGGAAAACCGAGTAAATAGCTCGGGTTTTCACCTGGTATCAGAGCTTCCAAGCTAAAATCCGCCTGAAAGTTGCGATTTTCTTCTTATTTCTTCAATCATCTTGCCTCTAATTATCCAAAATGCTAGAAAATGAGAATTCTGATGTTCAAATGAATTATCAAAAGACCCATTATTCCTGTCACATTCTGATAGTCATGCTACATCTCTGACACAATGTTGTTTGATGGAAAAAACTTCATGATTTGGAGCAGAAATGTGAAGCTAGCTCTAGGAGCTAAGAACAAGAAGGGTTTTATTAAAGGAAAGGTAGCAAAACCAGCAGTCAGCCACAAAGATTACACCAGGTGGGAGAGAAATGACTACATGGTGAGGTGTTGGATCTTTATATCCATGACAGATCAGGTGGCTGGAGGTTTGAGCCTTAGTCAAACTTCCAAACAGCTGTGGGATGAGTTGACTGAGAGGTACTCCAAGAGCAACATACCTCTCTTATATCAACTTAAGAAGGATCTTGGAAAACTCGAACAAGGAGACATGTCTATAGGAGACTAAAACTGTAAGTTGAAGAAGTTTTGGGATGAGATATACAATATTGAGGCAATACCGGAATGTACCCGTGGGATTGTGGCAAAGTGTACATGTAGCATGTAAAAGAAAATGCTGGCAATGGTTGAGACAAATAGGGTGATTCAATTCTTGATGGGATTGAATGGAGGATACTAGAATGTTAGAGAGAACATTCTTAGCTTGGACCCTCTCCCTAGTGTCAACAAAGCTTTTCATTTGGTGCAACAAACTGAAAAGCAGAAGAAGATGTCTGGTGATATGCAAGAAATAGCAGAAGCCTCAACATTCCAAACCTAGAAGGAAACTCGAGGGTATGCTCCTGCAAAACTGAATGAGAGCAGGTACTAGAAAAGAGAAGCAAGAAAACCAAAACCTTATGTTACTTGTGACCACTATAAAAAGAAAAGACATGAAAGGTCCGGGTGCTTTGAAATCTACGGGTTTCCTAACTGGTATAAAGGTAAGAGAACTGCAGCAAATGTTGGGAAGCTTGAAGAGGAGATGGATTCTCCCTTGGATGAAGATGAATATGATGCTGGAAGTGGCTCTAGCAGCAAGCTAGATGCAGGAATGATTTCAGCAGTGGTGAAGGAAGTAATGAAGGGTTTTCAGGAGAAAGAAGGAGCAGGAAGCAGTCATTCGAAGGGAAATAACATGAGCAATTTTGCAGGTATAATTTCCTACTCAAATGTGGCTAGTTTTCGTGAAAACTTTGACTGCAACTCCTGGATTATTGACTCCGGGGCTTCAGATCATATGGCTGGCAATAAAAGATTGTTTTATAGCCTGAGAAGTCTGTCCAGACCTGTTATGGTAATCTTACCAGATGGGACAATAAAGAAGGTAGATCAAATAGGAACTATGAAGTTAGGAGCAAAAATTGTTCTTTATGATGTCTTGTATCTTCCTGAGTTCAAGAACAATTTATTATCTCTATGTAAGATAATAAGATGCAGCAACATTAAAGTAATCTTTTATCAAAATGGGTGTGTGTTTCAGGACCCTACTAACTAGTGGAGAAAGCTTGGCTTTTGGGAAGATTACAAATGACCTGACAAATTCACTTTAAGGAAGTGGTTAAGGAGCAAGAAATCAACCAGCAAGACTGTCTTAACAGCAAGCTTGGTAAATAATTCTAATGTTTTGGTTTGTAATAATTCAGTGACTCTAGATGTTATGCATGCTAGACTTGGGCATGGATTTTTTTCTAAGATGAAACACTTGGATTTTTGTAATTGCAAATCTGTTATAAGTTTCTGTTGTGATACTTGTTATGTTTCTAAGCACCATAAGCTTCCTTTACCTGCTAGCAGTAGTATAGCATCTGCAATATTTGATTTATTACATGTTGATTTGTGGGGTCCATATAGAACTCCAAACATAGATGGTTCTACATATTTTCTGACCATTGTAGATGATTGTAGTAACCGGGTGCACTTGCTGAAAAACAAAGAAATTGTGAGAGATTTGTTAGAAAACTTTCTTGCTTACATTGAGAACCATTTTGGTACAAGAGTCAAAACCATTAGGTCAGACAATGGGACTGAAATAGTCTAGTCAGAATGCAGCAAAATATTTGCTAAAAAGGGCATTGCTCATCAAACAAGCATAGCTGGTGTCCCACAGCAAAATGGGAGAGTAGAGAGAAAACATAGGCATCTTGTTGAAACAGCAAGAGCCTTGAGAATACATGCGGGGTTGCCTAAAAGATTCTGGGGTGAGTGTATACTTGCAGCTACTCATATCATCAATTTGCTGCCAAGTGTTGTTATAGGGTGGAAAACTCCTTTTGAGAGATTGTGGAAAAGGAAACCAGATTATAATCACCTCAGGACTATAGGTTGCTTAAGCTATGCAAGTGAAGCAAAGAAAAACAATGACAAATTTGCCGAGAGAGGAATTAGAGCTATCTTGATTGGATATCCTGTGGGTCAAAAGGGATATAAGCTCTATAATCTGGAAAAGAAAAAGGTTTTTACCAGTGTTCATGTGAAGTTTAAGGAGTAGATTTTCCCATATCTGCACCTAAAGAATGAATGAGGAGAGAACAAAGGGATGTACAACAACATTCCTTTAGTCAACCAAGATGTCCGAGGGAATCTTGAAGATGAAGAAAGTGAAGATGAAGAAAACATAAGGGAAGAGGTTGATGAGGATGCAACCATTGAAGAAGAACAACAACCACAAACTGAAGAAAAATTGCAAGAGTTGTTGCAGGAAGCAGAACAGTTAACTCCTGTAGTGAGAAAATCTACCAGGGACAGAAAAGTTCCAAGATAAATTCAAGAATTTTGAAGTCGATTTACCTCCAAGTAATTCAACTGATCATATGATCATCTCCTTCCTTTATTGCTCATAAACTCAGTGAGAATGAGTTCTACGATGGAGAATACATTGTTTTTCTTAACAATGTATTGAAAACTATAGAACCAGCAAGTTACACTCAAGCTTCGAAGAGCAAAGAGTGGACAGAAGCTATGGAGGAAGAATTGAGTGCTCTAGAGTATAATGAAACCTAGGAATTCACTGATCTTCCAGTTGACAAGAAAGCTTTGGACTCAAAATGGGTTTACAAGGTCAAGTTTGATAGAAATGAAAAAGTGGTGAGATTGAAAGAAAGGTTAGTGGCTCAGGGAGATAGACAGTTGAAGGGAAAGGATTACAAGCATACTTTCTCTCCAGTTGCCAAGTGTGCTACAGTCAGAATCTTATTGCCTTGGCAACAGTCCAAAATTGGAAGCTTCACCAGCTTGACAACAATAATGCCTTCTTACATGGCTTTATTGATGAAGACATTTACTTGAAGCCACCCCAGGGATATACAAAAGCTCCTAAAGGGAAGGTATGTAAACTCAAGAAGAGTTTATATGGCCTTAGCAGGCTTCAAGACAGTGGAATAAGGAAATTACAAAGTTTCTAAAGGAAAGAAGTTTTGACCAGTCAACTCGAGATTACAGTATGTTTTCTAGAGTGAGAAATGGAAAGCAAACCATTGTATTAGTCTATGTTGATGACCTCCTTATCACAGGTGATGATGATGACTATGTTTCTATTTTCAAGAAACAATTAGATGAGGAGTTCACTATAAAGGACTTAGGTGAAATGAGATACTTTCTTGGTTTGGAGGTGTCAAATACCTGCAAGGGAACTCTCTTGAATCAGAGAAAATATGTGCTTGATGTGTCGGAATATACTAGGTTAAGTAACTGCAAACCTGCCACTGCACCTTGTCCAAAACATGTTAAGCTATCTACTCATGAAGGCACAATTTTGAGTGATCCTGAAAAGTACAGGAGTTTAATAGGAAAGCTGCTATATCTTAATTTAAGCAGACCTGACTTTTCCTTCTCTGTACAGCAATTGAGCCAGTTCATGAGCTGTCCTAGAGAGTCTCATTGGGATGCAGCTTTACATGTTGTGAAATATTTGAAAGGGACTTCAGACTGGGGTCTTTTCTATCAGAACAATTTGGAGTTAAGAGAGATTGGTTACAGTGATGCAGATAATGGATCTTGTGTCTTTATAGGAAGATCCTTAACAGGCTATTGTTTTTCTTGGAGGAAGCTTGGTCTCATGGAAGACTAAGAAGCAGGCCACGGATTCAAAATCTTCCTGTGAATCCGAATATAGAAGCATGTCACAGACCACCAGTGAAATTGTTTGGGTGGATGGAATTTTTGAGGATTTAGGCTTCATTATTCCTAAACCAATTCCTTTGTACTGTGACAACAAGTCTGCAATGCACATAGCTGACAATCCTATATAGCTAAGTTTGATTTACTTTTAGATTGGATTTGTTTATAATTTGATGAAATAAGCTCGATTGGTTTAACATATTTATAGGATCAGAACAAAGGCCAAGCAAGTAGCTAAAGTCTACATACAACCTGTCGAAATTGTTCACCAATCAACAATTTAGGGAAGTTTTAATTTTTTTTTTTTTTTTTTTTTTTTTGTATTTAGTACACATTTTGCTAGTAATCTTCTTACCTCAAATGTCCTTATCAATTAGGGTATATCATGTTATCATCATCGAGTATACACAACTGTAAATAGAATAAAAGGAATTGCAAGTGGCGAAATTTAATTTGTACAAAACACGCTATTTACTCAATCGCTTAGAAAGCCAACCTTGCAAAGATCCGTGATTTTACATGTAATTTGGTATGACTAAACATGTCGTCTGCTGATATTTGAAACCACTCCACAGTAACATCTATCGGTCAATGTTTTGTTTTCTATTTTGAATTCTTTTATGTTTTTCTTCATTAAATCAAATGAACCATCAAATGAACCAATTCTCTTAATTTAGTTACCCTATAATTTAGGTACTTAGTTAAATAGTAATCCGTAGCATTGAATTATTAATCTAATAGCTACAATAAACCCACTGTTAATTAGCTAGGTTTAGAGTTTAGTAAACCCATTGTAGCTATTATATTATTAATAGTTCAATGGTACTATTTGGAAGAAAGTTAAAATAAGGGTACCATTTGAAAAAGCAAAATTTAGTCGGTACCATTTGGAAAATTACCCCCCCCCAAAAAAAAAAAAAAAAAGGAAGCCACGTTAGAAATTAAAAACATAAAACTTCAAAAAAAAAAGGAGGGGGGGAGTAGATGAATTAATGCAAATATAATATTCGGATAAAAATGACATGAAATGTACATCGTTCTGAGGATAAACAAGAGATATAATCAAAGAAGATACAACTCTCTTCATCTCACAAAACTTCTCGAGTGGAGTTACATATTGGCTCGCTAGGCTTAACGATTTCTTATATAACATAAGAAAACTATACAAAACCCTAATTATTCTCCAAGGAATAGCATTAGTAGCCGTCATAAGCGTACCCGAAATTAGGAAGCAAAAAAACATTCACGTGACTAAGCATGGGCGTGCTATGCAGGGCACGTCCGTGCACCTTCCCGGCCCAGCTTCGATAGCTATCCGTAAAACAGCCATAACTTTCTCATTTCTTTTCGGAATTGGGCATATGACCTATTGTTGGAAATCTTTTAAAACAAGCTATCACCTCCAACTTGAATCACCTCAATGCCATTTTTGGATTGAGAGATATGTGTGTTTGAAGTCGGCCCCTTTATTACACTAGATTAGTCAAATTAACATTGTACAATAAATGATGTACATTATGCTTAACTAATTAAGATATATTAAACCTGGAATTTAAAAGGCTACTCTGTAGTCCGTAATAATCATCCAAATAACACCATGTCGAATAGTATCAACTGATCTTGAGTCAAAAATCATCCAAAGCATTATAAGTAAGCTGAGTTTAAAAGAGCTGCTATTTGCAGCCGGTGTACAACAAAACATTGTGAGCATGCTTTGCTTGAATGAGTTAAAATTATAATTATAGATATGGGAGAGGACAAAGAATAACATAAACTAATTTTGTATTCAATACTAAACTAAAATTAAGGAACACGATTCTATGATGATGATTAGATCATGCCTAGCATTAACCCACTAAACCCAATACTCATAATACTCCGCTAACACAAACTAATCACTTAGGAGAGCAAATTCTTGTACATTAGGAGTTAATTAATTACCCACTAACAATTTGTAGCACATATTCCAACACACACCCTTGCTTCAAATTAGATTATAATGGCTATATAATTTTCATGTTTGACTTGCTTTCACATCAAATTTGATGGGTGGTATTAAGGAATAATTAGAATGCAATCTCACATAAGTGTACAAACTCACCTTTGACATGATTTACATCGTTACATGTCAGTGATGTCACACTTAATCCTATCACTTTTAAAATCAATGAAGTTTAATTTGTACAAGTAACGCCAATTAAATAATTGTTCTACATCTACCACAATTGTAGTCCACGTTTTTGTTATAGCAAATGAAAACTAAGTTTCATCCTATCACTTTACATGTCGGTAGTTCGGTACTTGGGCCCTAGCTACATCCTTTCCTTGGGTTCCATAATAATATACATCCTCCTTATATTTAAACTCGCCTCATTTGCACTTTTTTTGCATTATTCAATTGACATCTTATTGATAAGTGTTAAAGTAAGGGGTTATTGATGGATCACGTAAGCAAAAATAAGCGTCAAAACTAGCACATCTCTAAGGCAACCAAAACATACTTAGAAATTTACAACACAAATTAATATACTTATAAAACATCGGCAAGAGAGGATAAATACCTCATCCTCTTCGAGTTGCTTCATGATAGAGGGATCCATTGCACAACTAAATACTTATTCAAAACTTCTACCAACTGTTGATTAAAATACCAAGAATTAAGTCAAATTGTCGAACAAAGTGTGTTAAATAGACACAAATAATTAATAAGAAATTGAAATTGGTGCATCCCAAGATTTCTCTTATAATTTCAACTTCCCCACGAAGGTGGTTACTTTATTAAACATGGCTACACAATTCACCAATTTAACACCCTATTCGATTTGGAACTCGAAAATAAACTCATGATTTCTAATTCCCCAATAAAAATTCGATTTTTAGCAAATCACAATTCTATATTTCTTAACCTAATTCTGTTAAAATTAAATGCCCCACTCAACCATAAATAAAAAATTATCGCCAATTACAATAAGTGGCATATATAATTTAGAACAACCAAATCGGAAAAAATTATTGAGCTTGGCAAGGTAAAAATAATAATTATATAAAATTCGAAAAAAATGAGCAATCGAAAGAAAATAAGAGAACGATGATATACCTAGCGTGTGAATGAGTAGGATCGATGGTGAAGTAATGCTAAACGGCGGAACCTATTACATCATCCCACAGTGAACCGGCAATGGTGGAGGTCGAAACCAATAAAAATTGATCCGGACAAAAGAGAATTGGCACCATACTATCATTTCAATGTGGTTCCTGTTTACTGTTAAGTGCTAATAAAAATAAATTGAAATGATAGGGTCTCAATTGTCTTTTGTCGGGATCAATTATTGGTTTAAAAAAAAATGAATTATGTTTATTATAAACAAAAAAAAAAACATACTTCGTATTAACGTTTTTATCATCCATGTGTACTTGTATATATGCTCTTATTTAAGGAAACGTTAAAAAGAAGTATTTTTTTTTTTTAGGCTAAATGAAATATTAATATATGAAGTAGTGCTACTAGTTTAGTAGGTTAGACCTAGCCTCTATTGTTACTTTTGAAGGGGCTTTCATCGGATTTTACCGGTAAAAAACCCAATCTTTATTTCTTTTGAGCCTTTAGTTTCTTAGGTTATAATAATGTCTCCCTCAAAAGAAACAAGGTTTCTTCGATCTCTTTCAGAAGACAAAGTTTTTCCGATCTCCTTCGAAAGATAATGTTTTTCAACTCCTTCGAAAGACAAGGTTTTATTTGTGTTTAATTTAGTCTCCACTTGTACGGAGCTACGATTTCGAATTCGGGTTATAAAATCAACACAAAAATTTTCTTTCTCACAAAATTACGAAGCGATGACGAATTCACTCATAGCCTAAATTTTATGTGTGGCAAGTCACGTAATGTGAATGTGTGATCACATTTGTATATAAGAGTAATTATTATTGTATTTGTTATTATGAGTAAGCTGAATCATTCATATGATGAGTTACCTTATTTTATTTGCCTATAAAAGTAAGTCCAATTTATTACAGAGTACACAGTAATATCAATTAATTAAAAAAAAAAATGTGACCCATTTGTTCTAACATTAAAATATCTGATGTGAATGTCGCCACGAAGAGCTTGGCAAGTTTCCTCAAGCAAGTCGGTAATAGGGGTAGGGGCCACTTACTTACAGGCTCCTCCTATAATTAATTTAAGAGAGAATCTTTTATAATAATAAAGTTGTAGCTTAAATATAGGCTTTGAATAATAATAATAATAATAAAGTTGCTAAATTACTTAATTGTAAATTGTAAGAGAGAAATAAAAGTGTATGGCGTCTACTCCTGGTATCTTTTCCACTGGCCGTGGGAACCTCTTGGTAACTTCAAGGTTTACTCTCTATTTTACTATATCTTTGTCATAGCTATTTATTGCTTCGTGTTTGTTTCAATTATTATTATTTTTTTACAAATTCATGAAATATATATATACTTCATATTTACGTATTAATTATATATTGTGCAATTCTACAACATTGAAGTATTTTGTATGACCTAATAAGAACACGTGGCAACCAAGTAGTATTTGACTATTTGGTCGGACTGTATCTCACAATCTTAATAATACTAGTATAGCATCCGTGCGATACACGGATTACAAATTTTAATACTTATATTCATTTCACAAAAATTTAAAACTAGATCATGTAATACGAAGGATGTAACATTGAATATTCTTATAATGTTTTAATCATATATTTTTAATACTATTAAATGAACCGCTAAAAATGATGTATAGTAGTATTTGAAAGCAATTTATTTCTTCTTCTTATATGTAAAGACTAAATAAATAAATAAATAATAAAAAGAAGAAAAAAAACCAACACGCTTTTTCCCATCTACAACCTTTGAAAACACATGAAACTTAACACTTTAGTTTTAAAATTGAGAATTTTTTCCCGTGTATATATATAGGATGAATAAGTTTATCTCAAACTCTATATTATTTCGCATATATTTCATTCACCCGTGGAGAATATGAAATTTAAAAGGATTTTCTAAGCTATGCCCTTAAGGTTATTTAATTTTTAAGTTGTGTCCATATTTTTTCTAAAGAACAAGTATGACTTCTTCTAAGGTTTATTAGTTTTTAGTAACTGAGATGACTTTTTCTAATATATTCTAAAACCATGAGCATGACTTATTTTGGCATGATCCTTAAAGATTCACTGTGTTTTAATACAGTGGAGAATATATTATTGACTTATTTTGGCATACAGTGGAGAATATATTTACTTTAATAATGTATTCTAATACCAGGAGTATGACTTTTTCTAAGGCGTCTACTCCTGGATGTTACATCTTCGTACAAAAGAGTCTAATCAACAAAATTTCATCGTTACAAATATAAAATTTCATGTATGCTGATTGCTGATCGAATGATGTTAAAAATAACCTCTGACTAGTTGATTTAATTGTATGGGTTGAAGTATGTTTTAGTGGCACCAGGGATTATTCATAGCATATACTTGTACTTAGAGAGATCGGAGGAGAGAAAACCATTTTATCCCTTTGCATTCTTTTTTATGCTATGGAGGATGCTTCACCAGCAGCTATGGATAAGTCTGTCTCGATACCGAACAGCAAAAGGCAACAACCTTATTGTCGATAGGAGTATCGACTTCGAGCAAGTTGACAGGGAAAGCAAATGGTAACGTAATTTATCATCCTCAACTTGATGTGATAATTAATTTAAATCCACGTTGTTTGTATTTCCCTGGCAATTGTATCAATAATGTTGTTATTTGGTTGCTCCATGTTCGATCTAGATTAGTAAATAATCATAGAATATACTACCTTCGTTTTCTTTTAATTGACACATTTTGACTTTAGCACTATTCACACGCTTTCAATTGACCGTGTTTTGTGCTTTATACGTAATGAAAAATATAGTCATATGGGATTTTATTGGATTCGTCACGATATATATTTTCAAAATATCAAATTTTCATAATTTTTACTTATCGGTAATTAAAGATATATATGAATGGTTGAAGTTGTGCAATGACAAACGTGACTAAAGAAACGTGTCAATTAAAAAGATAACTCCAACTATTCAACTCCCTCAATGGCAATAAGGAGAGTAATCTCATGGCTTTAAAAAGTAATTGAACGAACACTTTTCTCTTAATTTGTCAATATACGACAGTTACATATTTGTATAATTTTTTTTTTTTTCCGTTTTTCTTTGTATAAATATGACACCTTTTTGTACGTATGTGGTAAATTATACAATCAGGGATGACCAGATTCTGCTTAATGGGATCTTATTCTATATTGCATATTGGGTGCTAGAGGATGTAAAGAACATGCCTTTATGGAGAATGGATGGTCTCCTTGTAGTTTTCATACTTCACATTGGTCCTGTTGATCGAGTTCCTCTACTATTGGTTACATCGCGCTCTACACCATCACTTCCTTTACTCTCGCTACCACTCTCATCACCATTCTTCTATTGTATCTCAACCCCATACTGGTAAGTCAACACAAAATCATTTTATATAATGATCAAACATCTTGAAATATACATATATGAATCAAAATAAGATTAATTAATGTTGAGTTGTACATACTGCTATATCAATTGGAAATAGGTGGAGTAACCAATTCAACTAGACCTTATATGTTACTCATCATATTATATATGTTTAATCTAGGACAATATTTTTTTGGTTGCAGCTGTGATTCATCCATTTGCTGAACTCATAGCATATTATGTTATCTTTGCATTACCATTGCTAGTAACCACATTCACGCGAACTATCTCTATAGCTACTGTGGCGTTGTATATCACTTACATCGACTTGATGAACAACATGGGTCATTGCAACTTTGAGGTCATTCCGAAATGGGTGCTTGATAGGATTCCTCCACTCAAACATTTCATGTACACTTCCTAACATGTACAGACAATACAATTCTCGCATCTATTTTAAAATGCACAAAAGTAATAACGCTCTATTTTGTTTAACTTATTTCAGACAAATTAAGTTCAAATAAGTGCTAGAGTAGCACTGCGTATACGTATTATCTACCTCATTCTTTATTTAAAAGTAAGTCATATATATGCATATATAATTCTTACTGAGAGTGAGGGATAGCTCCATTGGTTAGAGCTTCCCTCCCGATTTCAGGGGTTCCTGAGATCGATTCTTACCTTTGTCTTTGTGACTCTCTAAAAACAAAAAATATATATATAATTCTTACTTTTAGTAGTCTGTTTTGATGCTTACTGTTTTTCTGCTTTTATTTACAGGTATCACTCTCTGCATCACACCCGTTTCAGGACAAATTACTGTCTTTTCATGCCATTCTATGAGTACATCTATGGAACAATGGATTAATCAACAGATATAGTTTATGAAACTTCTCTGAAGAAGCCGGAAGATGTTCCGGATGTGGCTCACCTTACGCATCTGACAACTCTGCAGTCTGTCTATCATCTCCGGCTTGGGTTTGCCTCGCTTGCCTCGAAGCGTTTGAACTACAAATGGTACATGTGGCTAATCTGGCCTCTCACATGCTGGTCTGCGCTTATAACTTGGGCCTATGGTAGGACATTCATCATCGAAAGAAACACATTTAAGAAGCTTAAGGCAAAATTATGGATTGTGCCATGCTTTAAGAAAGAAGTGAGTTATTTTCACTTAGCCACTTAAAATTGAAGACAGTTTTTGGATCTCTATTTTTTTATATTACACTGTGAAGGTTTACAGATCAGAAATTTATATTTACAAGCTTGCCCTATTTGGCTCTTAATTTATGCCTAAAAATCCTCCTAATTGATACTGATTGATACAAAAAATATTCCCTAAACATTACAGATTTTCCTAGAAGATTATAGACAATTCTAGAATTTCTTACACTCCCCCTCAAGTTGGGTTGTAGGATCTCCGACACCCAACTTGCCTAACGCTCGTCTGAAGGCTTGTGCAGTAACAGCTTTAGTTAGAATGTCTGCTAACTGATCTTCTGATCGAACAAATGGCAAGCTTATCACCTTTCCTTCTAAATTATCCTTTTATAAAATGCCTGTCAATCTCAACATGTTTTGTACGATCATGTTGGACTGGATTTTCAGATATGCTTATGGCCGCCTTATTGTCACAATACAGCTTACAGCTTTTCTTGGGTGATAGAGATAACCTATGTAGGAATTGAACCTACATCTCCTATGCATTTGCATAGTATTCTACCAATAGAGCTAATAGGTTTATCATATGATCAAATTTCATGAAAAAGAACTCATTTGCTACCATGCAACACTTCAAAAAAAACATAGCAAACTTCAGCAAAGCCTTGAAAAGTCGAATTCACCCACATTGAGATGAAGCATGATAGAATTCTCTTCCAAATGTCAAATTAAATTACTCTTTGAAGCCAATCATACTCAACAGTCAACACCAACATTATAGTCCCCCAAGCCGCAACATTACACACACCAACACAAACATAAATAATAATTGTAATTTGCAGTAACATTCTATCAACTCTTGTCCAAACCTCTATCAAATAACTCCCCAAGCCCCATAGCATGTAAATTACAAAACTACAACTAATTATTAAGGAAAACCTTAATGTACACCTGAAAATGGAATATATCCTAGTTGGGTTACATTTCCAAACCATTCTAGTAGGCCCCTTAATTCAGAGAGCTCATCAATGTAAGTTTCTTAAAGACTTAGCATAGGCTCCTAGGAAGAGATTTCAGTTTTGAGATTGAATACAAGCTCAAGGAGCTAAGGAACTTCAGGCTTTGCAAAGCAAATGGCTTGCCACTAATAGCCTCATCTTCATCATCATCATCATTCTTGACATCCCACAAATCCACTTTTCACAGTGACAAAGCTTCAAATCCTCAAGTGAAGAGAGACGTTATAATGCACCCGTTATGTCTCTCAGTCCCCACAATCATTGATTATAAGTTGCCTTAGAGATGATGGAGATCCAGCCACAATTTGGTCAATCATGGCATCCCTTAATCCAGCTTGTTGCTCATTAGATAAATGAGCGATGAATTGTTGCTTATTTGATAAATGAGCAAAGAATTAGTTGCTCATTTGATAAATGAGTAAAGAACTGTTTGCTCATTTGATAAATTAGCAAAGAACTGTTTGCTCATTTGATAAATGAGCAAATAATTGTCGCTCATTTGATAAATGAGCAAATAATTGTTGCTCATTTTAATTCTTTTTGCTCATTTTATTTTTGTTCGCTCATTTTATTTTCACTATATTGCTTTTCATATTTAGTTTGCTCTTTTTAATTATGTTTGCTCATTTTAATTATCTTCTATTGAATTTATCAAATAATTACAAAATAAAGGGTAAAAGGATTCATAACAAAGGGCAGTTCATTTTCCGCATCAAAAGTATACGAAGTATTACCTACGAACTCATTCAAAACAAACTCATTGATAATAGAGTACCAAGTCACAAGATTTCTAACAAGCGCTTTATCAAACACCTTGTATGCACTATCAGGATATTCATAAATATTATGCACCAATAATCCATTTTAAACCAAGTTTTAATTGAAACACAATTACAGAATTCATAACAAAAATTAATCAACTCAAAAATTAATAAAAATTTTACAAATTAAGAATATTCAATAGAAATTTTACGAAAATTAGCTTTAATTAACGTAAAAGTAGCATGCAATAGGAAATTTATAATGAAAATCCTAAATTGAGAGCACTCAACTCAAAAAATGTAGCAAAAATCATAATGTCAAACTCAAATAACCAAAATAAGAGCATTCAAATTCAAAATTTCAGAACACCAAAATTTGATAATTAGAACATCAAATTCGAAAATTTTGATGAAAATACTAAATTGAGATAAATCAATTTGAAAATTATAATGAAAAACCAAAATTAATGGCATGATATTCGAAAATTACTTACCAAAATTATGTGTTAGTGAACAAGAGGAGAGAGAAATGATCGATCCTTGAAGCTTCAAACCATTGATATTTCTCCTTCAACTTTGGAGAGAGAGAAATAAGCTGGGTAATTTTTTCTGGAGAGAGAAAGAGGTTATGTGTGATGTTGGGTTTGGGTGGGTTTTGTTATGTTGCAAATTACATTAATCTCAACTGATGGATTTAATACAATCTAATGGCTTGTCCTCACATAAGGGATTGATTCTCACATAGAGGGTGGTTCTCACCTGATCCCGACCCTATATATATATATATATATATCAATCAATTCTATTATTTGCTAATAATGCTCATTGATGAGATAATGTATACAAGGAAAATTAAGTATTGTTATAAACTAATTTTAGTTATTTAATTATTTTGATAAGAATTATGTCTTTATTTTCATGATATTATAAATTAGATACGAAGGACATGTTTATGTAATTAGTCAATAATTTTTCAATAAATAGTTTATTCAAAGGTTTAATGAAAAACTATTATAAATACACAAATAATTAATAAATAAATAAATAATGAACCTATCTATTCAGTTAAGTATAAGTGTTCAAAGTAACAATTTGGGGCATCATCCGGGCCACACACTAGTTATGATTATCAAAACTATATCATATGAAATATTATTAGATTCGTCTTGAAATGTATTCGTATTTTCTAAATAGCAATTTTTTAGAATTTTTATTCATATAAAATTGAATACATAGCTCAAAGTTGCATACGGGAGATCGTAAAATTCAATGTGTAACAAATACAGTATAAGGTAACAGAGGGAATACTATAAATAGAACATAAGGGATCAGGCAAATTCCAAGGTACATCCATATATTTGTCAATTTGCGCATATTCATTAAACAAATAAAAATACTTCTTAGAATATTTTTTTTCATTCTTTTCTTATTGCAACGTTAGAATTTGACACTTGTCAATGGATATATTTTTTTTTAATATCTTTAATTAATTCTATTACCTCTATTATTTGTTATCTATAACTTTAGAGTATTATTTGTGAGATAAAAGTTTTCAAAGTTGTAAATATTAAATAATGGAGATAATGATTACAATATAAAAGTTAATATTTTAAAAAGTAGTCCGTGTATATATATAGAGAAAGTATTTTGTAAGTTGCAAGTGTGAACAATATACCTTTATACTTCATAATGGGTTTTTATGATGGAACCTCAATTTTTTACATGTTTGAAGGTCACCTCTACCTCCTCCTCGTCTCTGTGCTCCGTCTATTATAACACCAGGAATAAATAAGAAACAAAGTTTATTGTACGTAATAATTAAGATATTTCTTTGATTAAATTTTATGTATTGTTGGGAATGTTAAGAGGCTAAGGGTATCTTTAAAGTTCGAACTATTAGCTTATGAATATGAAATAAACAAAGACAACTAACCTAGACGACCTTTTGAATCTTAAATTTCCTTTTTTTTTTTTTTTGTTACTCTTCAATGTTACGAAGTACTCGTACATTTGCCTTAAAAAAAAGTACTCGTACATATTTTCTAGGTTCTAACCGTCAAAATAGGTTGAAGTAAATCCCTCTACAAAACATAGTATAAGACATAATTATGTATTTCACGTACAAACTACTGAAAATTTTACAGTAGTGGTTTGAATATGACTACCATAATGTTTTATGATTATATAGTTCATAATTGACATATTTTTTCCAAGTAATTAGTTATATTACTTTATTAATGGTATTAAATAGTATTATCAATATTTTTTTATTTATCAAATTTTTAGTTTCATTTATGTAATTTTTATTCTTATTTTATAGTTTCTCAAAAAATATTTATTTTATATTGGATTAAAATTTTTAAAATTTATATTTACATTGTAGATATTATAAGACTAATTGTGGCCATTTTATAACGTGAAAAAATAAACCGATCATATTATATATCATTAAAATAATATGGTATTCATTTTTCAAATAACCGTTGAAAAATCATCCACATCTGATATTAATTCATCTTTTCCATTATTAATCCCTGGCATTAGTTAACATATATCTAATCGATCAGAAATTAAAGAAGTAAAGAATAGTTAAAATGATGTTACAACTTCTAAGATCTAACAAAACTATTACACTACTTGTTATGACATTATTATTGCTATGACAAAGGTGGTGCACAATCCCATATCAAAGAGGAGGATGACTTCCACGTCTCAGGCATAGCCAACGGTGGCAACAAGTCTGAAATCGGAATTGAACCAATGGTCTCAATCCCGTCCCATTGATGGCCATTATCGTCAGCATATAACATATTATTCAAATTGCCCAACAAAGTACATGCAAAATCTTGTTGATCATCACCACAATATTCACGATGGACTTGTTCATCATCTTCGACGTTCACACGTTGCATGTGTTCTTGTGACAATGTGACCGGTGAAAAATCATGGCATTTTCCATTTATATTAGGCAGCATGCCAAATTCCGCGTTCCCATCCGTATGCTTATCAAAATTTCCGAGAACTGAAGACGACATGTTTAGTAACATCGATGAGGTATCGATGTTGTTCGATTTATTGGACGGATCAGACGGGTTCTCAAGTTGAGGCAAGGTGTAACAAGGTGGAAAATCTAACAAGGTTGCTATATTCGCCAACAAATTATTATCGTTCGATATTGTTTCATCGGTGTTATAAGTACTAGTAGTAGGGTAAATTGGTTTGAAAGTTGGTATTTGATCTAAGAATGATGAGTAATTATCAGGTGACCCCAAAAATTGGTCTAATTCATTTATGTTGTTGCTAGAGTTTGGTTGTTGCATGGGAGAACTACAACTAGTTTTGATCATGTTATCGGGGCTAAAGTTAGGGTTGTTGCAAGAGCTAGATGGTGGTAAACGAGACGTAAGGTTCGGGTGAGTCAGATCAGGTGAAGGAGATACCCAAGAATGGAAATGGGTCCTTGAATTTGTAGGGCCTGTTTTCTTAAATATCCTGCATATTGCCCATGAATCCTGCATGTTTAAACCAAAAGAAATATTAGCTTAACTAAGTAATTTATTAAATTTTTATAATATAATCAAAATAACTTTTACTTTAATTTTTATGGTCTTTCTTTTTGAGATCCTTGATATTTTAACTAATTTATTTATTAGTACGTACTTTCATTTGAATTATTTGTAATTTTGTTTCAATCAAGAAGTTTAGGTGAGCATGAAAAAGAGAAAATTATTATAAACTTGTATTTGTTCAAACCACAAAGCTAAGTTTCACGAAATTTCTGGGGTTTCTTGGTTATTGCTCCATGCAAGGACGATTGTTAGGTTTATGCCGTAACTTTTACTTGCAACGGTCATTTTTGTCCATAATATTTACCCTTGGTTCTAGTGCTTTACTTGTTCTCTCTTTTCAAACTTGTTTGTTGATTTATCTCTTCCCTTATGAATCAACCACTTCCGTTTTTACCTCACCGGCTCACTCTTTTTAGTTAAATGTTAGTACTTAAATATTTGGACGATAAACATAATAATAATGTATGTACACTAATACGAAGTGAGAAAATTAATAACTCCGGTAACTTATTTTACACTCATTCTCGACGAAAGGCTCTATTCAATTCGTTACATAATTTCTTTGCAAGTTAAGGCCGGTTTAATTAACTTATGGGAATCTATATAGCAGTAAATTTTTTTACATGTTATTACTAAGAAATATAATAATAATAATAATAAGTACATAAGATACATTTATATTGACTAATTAAGTTTATTTTCTTATCACCCCAATCCCCCAGCAAATAAAAGAGAATTTTTTTTTTTTTTTTGGTGTTTAGAAAGCCACAAGGGTGGATAATGAGAATCGATCCTAAGATCACCTGGAATCGGGAGGGGAGCTCTAACCACTTGAGTCATTCCTCACTCTCGTTGATTAACAACGTAATATATAGTGTATATTATTGACAAGAGATAGAGGGAAAACATGGTATAGAAGTACTTACATTAGCAGGAAGGTTTTTATCCACGCATCTTTTCGTAAGCGTAGCGTCGCCAAGAGACGGGAGGCGAAACTCGTGCATCATCCAGTCAGTCTTGACCCCTTTGGCAGCTCTACCTTGGTAGAACACCAAGGACTTCTTTAACCCTATGCACTTGTTTCCCTCCGATGAGTAGATCGGACGGTCCGTTCCGGTTGCTTTCCAAAACCCTGCTCCGGTGACCCTATTAGGCCTTGCACTATTTCTATATTTTCTGTCCCTTGGACAATAAAAATACCACTCTTTCTCCCCTGCAGATGCAAATTCTGCATGCAAAAACATAAAGTTTGTTAATCACTTTGTCAATATTATACTTTTTTACCAATAAATAAAAGTCATATAATACGTAGTATGTTGATGTAAAAAAGATTTATAACATACTTATTAATCCACATTATTTTATCATTTTGTCATACATAGAAAATATATAAAAAAAGTTTTCAACTTCTTAACAATAAATTAAAATAGAGTGAAAAATAAAAACCCTTTATGTAAAGGTAAAGAGTTTAAAAAACTCGGCCTTAAAAGGCGAAAATATTACTTATTTAGAAACGGATTGAGTCATAGATAAAAAGGGGGGAAAAAGTCAAGATATATTATCATAATATAGAATAAGCCTAATAAGGTTTAAGAGTACATGATAGTTATGAAAAATATAACTAATTAAGAAAAACATGTAAGTAAAACATGCATCAAGTTTATTAATATCAGTTCATAAGATCTACTAGGTTTATTTTTCCCTTTACGTACAATAACATGAAAGGTACATTATGTAATATAAGTTGATAATTAATAAAATATATCTTACTTGGAAGATCCCATGGATCAAATTTATATATATCAAGTTGCTTGATAAGCTCAATAGAAAGAGGACGTTGTTGAATCTTCCTCTTAAGGTAAAACCCTACAAGCTCCTCATCGGTTGGATGAAATCGAAACCCGGGAAGAAGAACTTCGTCTACCTTCTCTCCTTCATTTGTTTTCTCATTCATACTACAATCTTTAATCATTGTCTCTTCCATTACTTTGGACCGTTGAATCCGTTAAATTAACTTTCCTTAATCTTTAAGGTATCTAAGCTATGAGGAAATGTTTAAATATATTTTTGATCTTGAGCAAAAGGTTTGTTTTAGAAGCTAAGAATTTTTATAAGTCAAAACATATAGCATGAAACACTCTAAAGCGTGAGAAAAAAGAGTGAAAGAAGTACTAAGTAAGAGTTAGATTTCTAGAATGAGTAAAGTTTACAAAGTTTGAAGCTCATTATATGCTTCCTTCTAAGGGAGCTAGCCCCGAAGTATCAGCCGCCTTTTCTGGTGACTTTCATGAAATTTTCTATCTTTTTTTTTTCTACTACTAGTTGTGATGAGCTCATAGGGTTAAGTGACAACTACCAAGAAACCGACTTTAACAATTTGTTTGGATTGAAGGAAATGGAGGAAAAAGAAAGGAAGAGAACTGGAGGGGTAGACAATCTTTTATTTGGATAATAAATGGAGTAATTCCCTGTTCCTCGTGGGGTATGCGTCAAGAGTAAGGAGGTTCACCCAAAATTGACAGGCGGTCTCCACTAGTGAAAAACATCACATTATTTTCCAAAATTCCATTATGAGGAACAAAAGTGTTTCTCATGATGAGGAACTGGGGCTCCCTCTAACAAATGAGGGAGGGAGGGAATTGGAGGAGAGAGAAATGGAGAAATTAATTTGTAATAAATTAATCTCTCCAACAATGGAAAGCTTTAGAAAAAAACTCATCATTCTTCTCTCCCCTCCCCTCCCCTCCCCTCCCCTTCCACTCCCTTCCCTTCTTTTCCTTCTCAATCATCTATCCAAACACACTGTAAGTCAAATGAGATTGAAAACATAATTTATGCTAACTTATTACTTGTTTATAAAATAATTATCGCATGTATTCAACGTTTGTTCGGCAAAATTAGTTGTAAATTTTAGTAGAGTTCAGGATAAAACTAATTTCCGGTAAAGGACACATATGGTAGTTCTCTTGATTGTTCCTAGCTAGTCATTTGTCTTTATAACCAACTTTCTTAGTTCATACCCTGTATTATTTATTAGGTTATTTAATATAATTATGAATTTCCCTTGATTAGAGTATATAGTATTTACAATTCTACGTCTAGCATTAATATAATGCGCCATAGTCAAACATTATCTATCACTCTATCAGTTTTATGCGCGTCATGTATGATCGACCAATATCAGTACGTATTTTTTTCAAATTTATGTCATCTCTAATTATTACTTCATATTACAATAAGCTATGTAACAAGTATTTAATCATTCATTTAATAGATAGAGGGAATCTTATGCTTCAACTTTACACTATAACACGCATATGTACTTATGAACCTATTCATGTTTTTCCTTTATAAATGGAAAAAAAAAATTATGAAATTATTATCATTTAATGGATGAAACAAGCAAATAAACAGCTCATTGAAATCACCATTTGTGTCAATTAGTACACAATAATTAATTTTTTACATTCAAATTTCTGATAAATATTTAAGGTTGCATCAAGACAAAGCAATCTCAGGAGAGTTATAAATAAAATTTAATATTATAACCTAAGCTTTGAATATTAATTATAAGTGTGACGGTCTAAGGGTACGTGGACTTTGAGACACAAGAAGCCAAAAATCATAATCTAAATTTATTCAGTTCCACGTACTCTTGAACTTATGCTAAACAAAAAAATTAACATTAATTAATGCCTTCAATTAATTAACTCATTACATAATCTAAATTAATAGGTAGCTAGATATGAGTTTCTCAAGATCCGAAAATCTCCATTTCTATTCCATTCTTTCAGAGCTTCTATTCCACTGACTTGTCAGATTATTTGACCATTTTTATTTATTTATAAATTTATTTAATTATATCTGTCAAATTACTTCAGATTCCTTGCAGTGAGTTATGAGAGGTGTAGTATAATATACAAAATTAGTTAATGGGTGGTAAGAGTGGCCCACTAATTACTCTCTTAAGCACATAATTAAAGAGTTATTAGTAATAGTAGCTAATACAAGGGGTTTGCAGCAAATGACCTATGCTAATGCTAGTAAATAACTTAACTAGCCTTTGGTTTTTGTAACTAATTACATAATCAAAATTAATGCTAGTGTAATTACCACCCCTCATGAAGTGAGTTATATGGAGTACTTATATATTTATATAGGCAAATGGAGTTGTTACTCCATGCAGATTGCTTCCATATATTTACATCCATTCTTAAAGAATAGTATAAATAAATAAAAATAAATAAATAATATGGGTGATGAATAAATAAATAAATAAATAAATAAATAATAAAAATAAAAAATCTCTCGGTTTTGTGGCGATTAGGGCTGTTGGGTTGGGTAGGTTCCACGTTAATTTTCCGGCGTTTAGGGCGATTTTCTGGCGCGATTAGGGTGTTGGTGTTTCGGGTGGTTCTCGGCGTTTCAGGGGAGGCAATTCTCAAGGGTTTCGGGGGCAGTATCGGGGCAGAATTCGGGTGTTTTCAGGCTTGTTTTCGTTGGTTCCGGGGTGATATCAGGCGGTTTTCAGGCATCGTTTTGTGTGTAAAAGATTGGCTTTGTTTTATGTTCTGTTTTTGGTTGTTTGCAGGCGGTATTCAAGCGAGTTTGTGGTCGTTTTGTTAGGTTCACAAGTAATTCTAGAACAAGAAGTACTTTAACAATTGTGGGAACAAAACCTAACTATGTATAATTGATAATGAATTATACAAACAACCAAATACAATTCAATGTATTACAACCAAACACCAATTTATCAAAGTAATACAGAAAAACACAAAGAAAACACTAGTTGTGAAAGATATGTTACTTGCCTCTATTCCAAGCTATTACATCCAACATGAACATGAGAAATCGGTGACCACTTAAGTCTCAATCCTTGATACACTGACTTAGGCGTATGAATACATTCCTAAAGAGTTTAATTTCCCCCACAATGGTGCTTGGGTTTGATCCGGAAATACTCTTTGAGATACAAAAGTCAGCCCAATTGTTCTTTGCACTAAGAACAAATTGATGATAAAATGATTCACAAGAAAGACTAAAATCAAGAAGATTTCTCACAAAAGATTGCAAGTTTTTTGAGAGAAAGATGGAGAAATTTAATTAGGGAGAATTGTAGAGAAAAAGGTTCTGTATTTCTTTCGAAACAACTTCATCCTATATAATAGGATCAACCGTCGTATAAAACCGCAAAACGGCAAGAAGAGCGAGCGCGTGCGAAGAGGCGCGGGCGCGTGCGAAGAGGCGCGGGCGCTCCACAAGGAGGAGCGGGCGCTCCTCAATGTGGAGCGGGCGCGTGCGAAGAGGCGCGGGCGCTCCACAAGGAGGAGCGGGCGCTCCTCAATGTGGAGCGGGCGCTCCTATAGTAGGAGCGGGCGCTCCTCTTCTGAAATCTCAACTTTCTGATTTTCCAGGAAGTTGACGCGATTTTGTCGCGATTTAGGCGCGGGCCGCGCCTTGCCATGGCGCGGGCGCGCCTCCAAACTTTTCCAGAATTTCCAGAAACTCATCGCGGTTTATGCGCGGTTTTATCGCGGGTCGCGCCTAGCTGGCGCGAGCGCGATTCAGAAGCGCGAGCGCTCCTCCGACACTCTAAATTATCAACACGTTTTTGGTCGTTTTTTCAGGCGATTTTATCCCAGCTTTCAGGTGAGTCTTCAAGGCGTTTTTTAGGCTGCGTTAAGGTCATTTTTCAGGCGCTTTTATTCCGGTATTCAGGCTGCTTCAAGGCGTTTTTCAGGCTGCAGCTGTAAGGTGAAGCTCGTGATCATGTAGGTTGTTTGCTGGGTCGTTTTTCAGGCTGTTTGCTGGGTTGTTTTCAGCATCGATAAGGTAAAGCTCGTGATCACGTTTGTGTCATTTCTCAACCGCATTTTTTGGGTGTTTTTGGTGTTGGTTTGGGCGAAATTGAGGGTGTTTTTTAAGCTTCTATTTTTGCATTTGTCAAGGGTTTTGGGTGTGGTTTTTGGTGCAGTTTTGGGTGCAGTTTGGGGTGTAGTTTTGGTGCAGCTTGGGGTGTAGTTTTGGTGCAGTTTTGGGTGTTTTGGTGTTGGTTGGTGTGTCTTGGTTTTATTGGTGTTTCATGCGGCTAGTTATTGCTGTAGTTTTTGGTGGTTGTGTGTTGCTATGTCTATTGCCGTTGTGAAGTTTCATTGTCCCTTTTGTGGGTCTTAGTGGTTGTCAAGATGGAAGTGGAAATGGCCTTACTAGGAGTTCTCTTATAAAGCATCTTTCTGATCGTCATTGTTGTATTGGTGCTTGGGATATCACCCGATATTCTCTTACTTCTAATTTGGTTGTTTATACTGAGGCTGAAGTTACTTTTTCTCGTATGGGGATTTGGTTATGTGGAGTTTTCTACAGAACGCATACGCATCGTACTAAGTGCCGTCATAGTACGGGTGAGTTTGTGTCGCCCCCGGATGAAGGAGATGGTGTCATTCGCTTTGTCCTTTATGGTTTCTCCAAGCCACAAGCTCCCTCTTCTCCTCCTCAGCTCGGGCGCTTGGGTGATTTGGCGCAAGATCAACAGTGTGGTTTTGATGTGGCTCTCCTTGATGGTTTGTTCTCTAGGGGGTTGAAGTCTATCCCACCCAAGTGTCATTTGGGGTTCTCTCGGGTTCTGAAAGGTGCTCTTGATAAGGTGATCTTTAAGCCTGATGATATTTCTACTTGGTGGTTTCTTTGTTGGTGTTACCTCTTTGCATCCTTAAAACCTTTCGCCCGCGGAGTAGTCGTGAGTCTCAGTCTTCAATGAAGCGTCGGCATCAGGAAGAGAGTATATCCCGAGCTATTTTTTCCTGGAGTGCACCCGGTGGTAGTTTACAGCTTGTGAGGGAAACTCTGGCGGAGGTTTCTCCTTCTTTGACGGTTATTGGTGATGAGGACCTTGATTTGGAAGAGCGGAATATCAAGCAGTGTCGTAGGAAGATATGTGATGGTCATTATACCACTGCAGTCCGGGTTCTTTCTTCTTTAGGCGTTGCTCCTTATAATGACGCCACTCTTGCATATTTACAGTCTAAACACCCTACTTCTCCAGCTCCATCCTTGCCTGATATACCTGATGATGGCCTTCATCTCGTTACTACTTCTGATGTTGTTTTGGATCGGATTAAGAGCTTTCCGCGTGGCACATCTTGTGGTAGGGATGGTTTGCGTGCTCAGCACCTTATGGATTGTTTGGGTGGTGCTGTTGTGGCTGTATCAGATGAGTTCGTTGACTCTATTTCCGAGGTGGTTAATCTCTTTCTTGCTGAAAAGTGTCCTACGGAGCTAGGAGAGTATATTGCTAGTGCTCCTCTTACTCCACTGGTCAAGCCTGGTGGTGGTATTCGTCCTATAGCAGTGGGTACCGTTTGGCGG